TCTATGAAATCACACAATAAGGAGGAAATTGCACCCATTGTTTGGTGACCATTATCAAATCTTTAAATATATAGTGTTGAATAAATGAAAATTCTCCAGGAACCTGGGAGCCAACACTTTTTATATAAAAATCCTATTCTACACAAAGTCACCATGGGGGCCCTAGTATCAAATAGCTTGTGGTTGTTAGGAATTTTGCTGTTTTTGCAGTGAAAAGCAAACCATACTTCATCAAATTTTCAAAGGATTCTGCAACCTCCAAAATATTAAAGACCATTTACCTATGCATTACATATTATCACAGCAACTTTGAACATATTTCTTTTAAAACTTCAAATACTTTCTTAATGTAGCCATTCAAATTCCCTAAAATTTGGCCAAAAACAACTGAGGATCAAAAATTTAAATGATAATACATGAATAAAATAGTGGCATTAAGTAAAATTTTAGGCAGTACACTGAGAAAATTATTCTATTTTTGTGTTATTGCAATTTTAAGAATTATTATACCAAAAGCATGTGCTAACAAACAACATGAATTTTTAAAAGAAAAAGACTTTGTGAATGGTAGATATTTGTTGATAGCTAAATACAGCAATTTCCGGTCTCCTGATTTATGAAAGCTAAAATAATTCAACACCCTTCATTATTTCAAATAAGCCCACACTAAGAGGATTTCACAAAAAAATGGTAGAAATTGTATAGTCCCTGGAATAATTGTAAAGGAGATTGTAGAAGGCACTGTCCACAGCAAAGAAGCTCTGAAGTGCAGCCAAACAATATGCCTCGGAAAGTCTCCCAGTGGAGGGATTGCCACAGCACTGACAATTATCCAGTGATTTGCTGTACAACCTCTAGAGCAGAAGGTCTATCAAGAATTCCCCCAGCAGCAACACTTCATGTAGGCCCACTCCTGGAAACACCATTTACTGCACTGTAAGCATCTCTCCAGCATTTGGACAGCAGGTAAAACAACTTTAACCACATCAACAAAGCAGCCATCCAACACACGAAGTGCCAATGATGGATAGAGAAATCAATGACCATCACAAAATTTATAGCCACATAAAAGTCAGCAATCCCACTTAGGTTGGCTCTGGTCCCCTCAAAGTACTTTCCATTGTTTTCATCTCAGATTCTACTTCCAAAAGGCATACAACACTCTCCTGATCAGTCTCTCCTTCTCAACCTTGTCTTGATCATACAATTTTCTTGACCCATTGTTCTAGAAGTTATAAAGGGCTACTATTCTTCCTGACAATGCCATAGGATATAGTTAAATGCAATTAATTGTAACATATAGAAATTATGTACACAGAGCACTAAAGATATATCTCCTTAGAGTGCCGTGATAAACTTCTAAATTTATATTTTGTTGAATCAATTCATCCATTTCATAGATAATTGTTGATCAGTTATCATGTGTGAAACATTACTTTCTACATTTGAAAATAGTAGAAAACAAGATAGAGGTTATAATCTATTTAACCCAAATAAAGAATTTAAACCCATAAAAGAGAGAAGATAAGAAAATAGCATGTAATAGGTACATATATTTATAATGAATGTCAAGCCAGTACTAGTGATTATGAATACAAAAATAAAACATCATGTACTCTTAACTAGGTCGTAAAACCATACTGCTTATAATACTTATAATATTGTCTCAGGGCTGTGATAAAATACATGTCAAAAGCAACTTAAGGAAGGCTTTATTTTTATTTGCATTTCTGATGGATATGTTCCATTATGTCAGGGAAGGTATGGCAATAGGACCAGGAGGTGAGGAACCACATCATATCCAGAGTCAGGAAGCAGAACGATAAATGCTAGTGCTCAGCTGACTTTCTCTTCTTCGTACAACCCACACTCAGGTTGGGCTTTCCTATCTCAGCCTAATCTAGATAATTCTTCATAGACATGCCATTAGATTTGTGTCCATGGTGATTTCACATCCTCTCAACTTGACATTAACAATCGTAGGGTAGCCCATGGCAGACAAGGGCACAGTATAGAAAATCACAATACAGAGACATGGAGACTAGAATAATTGAGAGATTGTCTCTGTTTCATGGATTTGGGAAGGGTGGGGTGGGAGAGTTGGTTGCCTAAATGCCTATACTTAAAAATGATTTGGAGTTGGGGCTGAAGAGAAGGCTCAGCAGTTAAGAGCACTGGCTATTCTTACAGAAGACCTGGATTCATATATCAGTATCCACATGGCAGCTAACAGCCATCCTTAATTCCAGTTCCAAGGAATCCAACACCGTCTTCTGTCCTCTGCAGGCACTGCACAACATAGGTGCACTTATATACATACAGGCATTACACGCATACACTTAAAATAAATAAATAAATAAATAAATAAATAAATAAATAAATAGATAGATAGATGATAGATAGATAGATAGATAGATAATAGATAAATAGGTAGATAGCTAGACAGAGAGAGACCTAGACAGACTGATAGATGATAGATAGATGATAGATAGATATATGATAGATGATAGATAGATAGATAGATAGATGATAGATGACAGGTAGCGTAGCTAGATACATGATTGATGATCGATAAATAGATGATAGACAGATGATAGAAGAAAGATAGATAGATGATGGATAGATATATAGATGATTGATAGATAGATAAATAGATGATAGAAGATAGATGATAGATAGATGATAGGGATGGATGGATGAATGGATGGATGTATAGAACATAGGTCATAGAGGTGATAAATAGAAAGTTAGATTGATGTCAGATGCCTACATGATACATAAATGGATGACTGATAATATAGATGATAGAGAGATGGTAGATAGATACAAAGATATATACATAGATAGATAGATAGATAGATAGATAGATAGATAGATGAGTGGATAGAGATAGATAGATAGATAGATAGATAGATAGATGATAGATAAATAATAAATAAATTTTTTTAAAAACTGACTTGGAGTTTGAGATGAGAAAGAAAGAGTATTCCAAGCTTAACAATATAAAAACCATAAGATAACAGAATACAATAAAGATTTTGAGTCTGCTAAAATATGTGAAGATATATCATGTGATAAGCTGAACAGAGAGCCAGAGATAGTCAGGGAGGCCATATGAGTGCAGCAGGAAGTCCACACTTCAGACCTAATCAATGCATCCAAAGACCATAAGAAACCAAAAAGTAAACTATGGTATACTGCAGAAGATTAAGTAGGAATAGGCTCATAATCAAGGAGAGCGATCAGAAGTCTGCTGTACTTCTCCATGTGAGGGAAAATGCAAAGAAGCTCTGGAAAAAAGCACAAGACAGGAGAGAATGTAAGAAATGTTGTGAAGTCATAGCCAGTTGGATATGGGAATTAAAATGTTAAAGGAATTAAAGAAAATTCTAGGCTATGGCCTGCAACACAGGTGTTGGATATATAAATGTAGGTCATGCAGGAGAGAAAGTATTTTGGCAAGAAAGGAAAATGAGTTCATTTTGAGCTATGTGGAGTGCAGCCTGACAATAGAAATTTCAAGTAAGCAGTTTAACACCCTGCATCTGGAGGGTGAAAGAGAAAGGCCTAGGATATAGCTTTGGATTGGGATAGGAAACAGTCATGTCTAAAGGAGTTCAAGACGGTGACAAGATATATAGAATAAGCATAGTTTGGGGTGTCAGACAGATATTTGTCAGCAGTTTGACTCTGAGCAAATGCTTTGTCTTCTCTGAGCTTCAGTTTCTTCACCTCTAAAACAGATGCAGCAGCTACCTAACAGAATTACTTACATGACAAACGCATAGAACTTGCCTTTTTAAGATATCAGATTCAATACGGGAACTATATGCACAATGGCACACTTATGAGACAAGCAGATGAGCAACTGTGTTCTCAGACAAATGTGCTCAGGGGTCCAACCTACAAGTCCTTTCTTGGGATGGGCGGCTGCTCGGAGAACAGTGAGGAATCTGAATGCTTATTTAGTTCACTTTTCATAGTTGCTTTCACAAACTTTACCCTGCAAGTTGAGGACATATTCTATCCCCTTGGAGGATTATCAAGATCCATTGATTTTTGGCTTTTCTGTATTTAGTAGTCAAAATGGGTTCTTATGAGTTATTTGACCTGATGTATATCAAAGTTTCCCAAGCACATTAGAAGGGAGAGTGGTTATGCATAGTTTTTTATAAGGAAACCTTTTATGCACTGCAGGAGTACCCAGAAGTATGAGAAGCGGAGAGTAGTTGCTCTAAAGAAAATAGCAAAGAAAAATGACTTTAGTATAAAGACAATTTGTTCTGATTTAATAAGTGATTCCAAAACTATTGAGTTAAGGATAAACTTTGCCCTTTGTTCAGTGTCTAATTTGCCACAATACGAAGTTGTCATCAGAGAAGAGTATTCATAATGTTTTCTTAATCAAAATATGTAGATACGAGCTGGAGAGATCGTTCATCAGTTAAGAGTACTGGCTGCTCTTAGAGAGGACCCAGGTTCCCAGCATCCCCTGGTGGCTAACAACTGTCCATACTTCCAGTTACAGGGGATCCAATGCCCGCTTCTGACCTCCACAGGCATTGAATGACACAAGTGCACTTACATACATGCAGGTAATACACTCATACACATAAAACAATTTTTAATATTTTATTTATTGTTATTTTATGTGTATGCATGTACTGCCTGCGTGTAGGTAAGTGCACCCGTGTCATGCAATGCCGGCAAAGGACAGAAGACGCTGTCAGATCCCCTGAAACTGGAGTTAGGACAGTTGTTAGCTGCCATGTGGGTGCTGGGATTCAAACCTGGGTCTTCTACAAGAACCACCAGTGTTCTAAACCACTGAGCCATCTCTCCAGCCCAACAAAACAATTTTTAAAATTTTTACTAAAGTGTGTAGATAGAACTTTAATTAGAAAAATTACACACTTATTAACCAGCACGCTATTCAAAATTCCGTAATTAAATCTACAAAAGAAAATTTAAGGCCATTGTAGTTGCAACACGTCCATTACCTTGGTGGTTATTCTCTGAAGTCTTCTGCACTCAAGCCATCCCCTGACAAAGGCTTGTATGACAGTGATCCGTTTAATTATTCTTCTAGTGTATACGATTTTGTTTCTTCCTTGGAACAATTGGAATATTTCTATGTGAGGTCCAATTCTTTTAACTTTACTGTCCAATTTATCAGATTTTAGAGCAGATTTTAACCTAAAAATGAAACAAAAGTTTCTTAGAAATAACAAGAAAAATAAACACGTCTTTATTCTTAGATTTATTCGCTGACAAATGAGGATGCACACACACACGAAGGACCAAAGCATCCGGGGTTTGCCAGGCAAACACTGCCACTGAGTTCCATCCCAGGCCCTTGTTACATTTTTTTAGACTAGGTTGCTCAGATTGGCCTTAAACTCATGGTAGCACACTCACTGTAGTCCAGGCAGGCCCCTTGAACTCACAATCCTCCTGCCCCAGCCTTCAGAGAAGTGAAACTACAGGCCTTTACCAACACGTCAGCCTTCAAGGGAAAATATATTGAAACAGGGAACACAATATGATTTGTACATAGAATTTAATATATAACATCACATATCCATGTTGACAATATTCTCAACAATGGTTGAATATTCTAGAATCAGTACACTATGCATACATTAACCTTCTGAAGGAAGGAAATCTAACAAAAAGTGAGACTGTCCAAATTTATTCATTCCTATTTTCATGTAACAGGGCAGGTTAGTCCAAATAATTTTCATGTTTCTAAAGTTCTTTCAGACTATCAACTGATTTGAAATCACTTAACTTTTAGATACTGATATTATGCTAACGAAATACCATCTGAAAATTAATTCTGATCCTATTTCTGTCCAGTAAGAGGGGCAGCAGGTAGGGTCATGACTATAGTGGCAAGGGAGATCATACTAGAAACCATTATCTACCTTTCAACACTAATACCTGTAACCCTCTCAGTGATGATGACCATAAGAGAAAACTGCAGGCTCTCTACCATGAGCAGACTAACTGTAGCCTTGGAAACGTTGCACCTACTTTCTCCCCTTGGTATACCTAAAGTCTTTTTTTATATGGTGATTAGTTTCTTCAAATATTTCCATAGTATAGTTCCCTTGCAATTCTTAGCATATAAAAAATTTAAAACTAGAGCTACCATATGACTGAGTTATAGCATTCGTGGACATGTATCAAAAGGAGATCTATAGGTCAGCTCATCCACTACAGTTTTGTCTTCTCCCCAGTACAGAGACTTCTGAATTTTATGCCCAAATTTTATTAATTCTCTGAGTAAATCTCTAATTCAGTTGTCTATACGCAAAAGCTAATACAATAGCTGTCAATTTAATTTTTTAAGAATTGTATTTCAAAGGCAAATTATATCTTTCAAGCAGTAATACTCATGATGAACTCTTTCTGGAGTGAAATTGTAAAACCAGGAGGTTGGTCAATGCCCTAGGTAAGGGTCAATGATATTTCCTTATTTCTAAGTGATCAACAGCTAAGTTCCTATGGGATGAATGTCCAGAAACAGTGGTTATTCTGTGGGGATTCATGCTAAACACAGATGATACTTATTCAAATCATCAACAGGAAATTTCTGCCTTTCCCTCACAGTTAGCAAACACCCTGTGATAAAGTACAAACAGATCATAAATTGTGCTTCTGAAAGAAACATCATAAAATGATAGCTTTATAAAGATTACATATTTACTTAACACTTTATCACAGGAAGAAAAGGCTTATGGGTACAGGCTTCTCAGGGTTGAACAGCTATCACAACTATGAATTTGTTAGATGGGGCAAAGGATTGATCCACCATGTCAGGAGCATTTCCCATCCAGAAATAGAGATCACAGAGATCTTCTTAATCCAAGATCATCGGAAAGAAAAATTTGTATTACTATTTATGCTCTAGTAAAGTGTGAAGGAAAAAACTTTCCTTGATGAATCCATATATTTCAAATTTATTATTTGACTTTAACACAGAACAACCTTTAAATGACACAGAAATGGCACCAACCAACCTGTCAGTATTCAAAAAGCAAATTGAAATTTTCATAGAAATTAGAAGCCAATAAATCACCATACATAAGCTAATAGAAATTAACAAGACATGCTAACCTATTTTATGTATGTATGTATGTATATATATATATATATTCTGAACTAATTATATAAGTATTTCTAAAGTTTAAATAAGAATCACAGGGGGCTGGAGAGATGGCTCAGTCTTTAACATCATTTGCTGCTCTTGCAGAGGACCCAATTTCAGTTCTCAGAACCCACATGGTCACTCATAATTGCATATAACTTCAGTTCTAGGGGATCCAATGCCTTCTTCTGGCCTCCAGGGGCACTGCACACACATGGTATACATATATGCAGGCAAAACACTCATACACAAAAAAATAAAAATAAATAAATCTTAAAAACATCATTGCTGGGTGTGGTATCAAATGACTATACTATCAGCATTTAGAAGGTAGAAGGAAAATCAGGAATCAAGGCCAGCCAGAGCTCCAAAGCATATTTGAGACCAACTGGGCCCACAATGGACCCTATCTCAAAAGACAAAACAAAACAACAAAAGAAATGAAAGCAATATTTTTGTATCATGATATAATTGAAAAATCCATCCATTTTCCACTCTAAAGAGATTATATTTAAATGAAAGACATTGAACTCATGTGGTAAGACTATTAAGGAATATACATTGACTTATTGTATGAAAATGCTGCCCATGAAGTCCTCCTGAAGAGCCAGTCTGTATCTCCTACATTGCATAGGGATGTCCCACCTGTCAAAGTGCTACTTCTTAACAATTTAAAAGCATTGATAGACTTGAGTATGTTAAAAAAATTCTTTTATCATTGGATACATATTCTGAATAATTCTTAACTTTTAACCTCAACAGGAGAACTGACAATGGGTCACAAAAATCCAATGTCAGTGAATGGATACACCCCAAAGGACATTTGGGGACATAAATTTGACTCGATAGACCTTAATATATATGAAAAGTACATGAAATCCAGTGGGAGGATGGTTATAACAGGGGGGCAGATATGGGAGGGGTCTAAATATGATCAAAGTATATTGCATAAAATTTGCAAAAATTCAAAAATTGCAAAACAATTTTTTAAAAATTCGTGCCACATAAAATCATTTTAAGAGAGTAGGACAGTGGGTAGGCATGATGGCATGTGTATGTAATCCCAGTATTTGAGATGCTGAGACAAGAGGATCAGAAGTTCAAGACTAGCCTAGGCTACATAGGGAGTTCGAGGCCAGCCTAGGATACATGAGACTGGGATTAACTGAGTGAAGGAAAGGTACCAGCTGGAGGGGAGAGGGAGAGAGAAGAAGAATGGGGAGTGGAATGGATGAGAGCTGAGTATAACGCTGTATACTGAATATGCCATGCTGAAACCCTTTGCTTTGTGTGAAGGCCTTCGACAAACTTACTTTTAAAATGCAGCATTAAAGGATGGATCAGTCTTCTGGTCATAGTCAAAACTTACTGATACCCATACCCATACCATATACATGTCCATGTTTTACTCCATACTTATTGTACATATGTTATTGAAATTGGTCCACAAAATATTAAAGCAACAGTTTTTGAAAAGCTTATGAGCTCAAAGAAGTGCCTTATGAATGAATCTTAATCTCCAAAGTAGAACTGAGAAGGCAAATTGGCAACTTGTCTTCCTCTACTCTGAATAGTAATTCAGTATCCTATCTAACAGTGGGGAGGGGAAGGCATATGTTAGCTAGTGATAAGCAAACACAGGTAATTCTGTCTTATATAGATCTCTAAAATAGCTGGAATTCAAACTCTTCTGTACACTGTAACTGAAAACAACAGAAAACGAATGTTTTAACTCATTCAATAGAAATGCAAACTTTATTCTTTTAATTGCTGTCCATCTGACACAATACAAGAAAAGCATGTATAAAAGCAAAAGAAATTAGTTACTTCCTTCCATATACCTCAGATTTATACTCATCTCCAGAATTTAAAAAGTAATTTTTTTCTTCTAGTTTCTAGCACCCAAACCACATAAAAGTGTATTTATCTCAATTTCAAAGCCTGTATCTCTATGAAATTATATCATATCCTCACAAAAGAAGCCAAGGTACTATATATCATCTCATTAGATTTCCTAATTTTTGGATTAATAATTTCTAAACTTGGTTTTGTGATAACCTAACAAACAGAATGCCTTGAAGGTCTTATCATACTCTCATTTAAAATTTTTATGGTGATTCATTGAAACTTTTATGAGAAACATAAGGGGAAATGTTCCAACAATAATATCATTAAAATAGAAACAAGAGGCTCCATTCTTTCACTTTCAGAATTAAAATGAAAATACCATACAAAACTACCCAGTTCCATACAATGCTTGACTAAAGACACAATGCCAACATTGTTCTTGACCTCATAGACAACAGAAGGGAAATAACTTGATGTTAGGAATCAAGAAAATATGACTTTATCATTACCTTTCTGGGAATTATGGAAAAAGCTACATGCATGAAAATATCTACCATGGCCTCACTTATAATGGATAAATTTACAAATACCTAGACAATTAGTTAGATGACATCAACAAATTATTTTAACAGAATAAAACTGATACAGATTATGTAAGAAAGGGAATAAGGGTACTGAATTTTATGTATTACATGTTTGGAACTTTTTGCTTAAAACATATATAAATAAGAGTAGGAACAAACACGCCAAAATGGTATTGTGGTTGTATTAACCGAATGTTTCTAAACCACAGGTGAATTGGAATCATCTGATGATAATTTTTCAGAAATGCTTATATAGGGCCTCGCCTTCCTAGGTTCTGAGTCATTTTCTCCAGTAAACCAATGCAAGTCCTTGATTACACACTAACTTGCAAAGAAAACATTAGGTTGTAAAAGAAAATTATTTGCTTCTAATTTTCTATTTCTCTTCAGAGCCTGTGAAATAAGATAGACTTGAATGTATACTTTAAAAGAAAAGTATAATTACTTACATAAATAAAAGGATTAGCAATAATAACTTTTATTGAGTATTACCTTTGGGATTTCTCCTGTAATCATTAAAATACTTATGATGAATCAATTTATTATTCTGATTTCTAAAAGAAATTGGGTGATTCTTTAGCCTCACATAGAATTGAAAGCCCTTCTGACTTTATATTTGATAAAATCAAAGGTGGACAAAGTTATGCTTGAGAACAGAAGGTTTTGCATTGGCAATGCTCACTCCTCAGTCATCACGATGACCTGGGTGACTGGCTTGGGTATACTTGCTTGTTTTCATATATTTCAAAGATGCAACCACATTGTACATGCACACTCTCTTACACAAGTGTCCATACAAGTTTCAAGGAGCAGTACATAAGATGTAGACTCTCTTTGTCACTGTCAGAGACATAGAGGTCAAAGGACCCCTCTAGATTAGAGGATCCATAAAAACTAGCCTTGGCTTACTTTCCAAAAGTA